TGATGGTGTCGCTCAGCAACCTGCTGAGAACAACGTCCACCATAATTGACAGACACAAGGTTGCATTTAGTAGGCTGTACTGAAGAACACGTGGTGTGGCTAAAGGCAGGACCAGGGCATCAATCGAGGCTTGTTGTCGTTGTTGTCTTCACATTTACATCGTTTCGAACTCTATCCAGGCTGTGGTCACCCACAAACCCAAAACAGATATTGAACACAAAAATAGTACTACGAACAAAGTTGAATTGCTGCAAAACTGAGGTCGGCCTGTACCAATTCTGTTCGTTGGATTTGTACGGTCATTTGTTTGTGAGCAGTCACAAGCCTCGTCATCAAAGAGGAACAAACACAATTCAGTTCTTCTTGGAAGCGTCAGCGAGGAAAATGTATCTATGTAGAGGACACTTTGATGTTTTTCGAAACGTCATCAATAAAAATCATATTCGTCTGCCAATGGAAAAACGGTTTGGAATAAATGTCTCGAACGGGTAGAGGCTAGTAGTCTCTGCTGATTTCTGTGTACACGTGTTTGTAGTATATCATAGAGGGGAGCCGTTCTGGTGAGACAAGGTATTGCGTGTGCTCTCCGAGCCCGTTCCTCTCTATTTCAACTCTTCTGTACGCCCAACAGGATTCCCAGTTCCATTTTTGCCATGCACGGGAGCAAGCACAGACGACAATGGGACAGCGGTTGTTGGATTCTTGCCGCGGAGAGAGCAACAGTTGGATGTTATGCGGATTTGGTCATATTTTTTAGCCGCGTACGATCGCTGCTCTGCAGGGGCATTTCCGCGCTGCGGAGTTGCCTCACTCTTTCACGATGCACTGTTTTCGAGTCGGGGGGGGGGCTGAGCCAGTCGCTCGCGTGAACGGCGGCGGATGGAATAATACGTGTCGAAGGCTGGAAGACGGAAAGCGTAGCGGCTACCGCTAGCTCTACGGTAGGGGGGTAAGAGTCAGCGAGATGCGGAGAATGCAGTTGGTTCTGGGGCACCATTGTCACCCCACGTTGCTGCTACATACTTTGTCGGCGTGCGGTCGGAGAAGAAAATATCGTACATTTTTGGGGAGTCTCCGTGCAATCAAGGCGGAGGATCCGGGCCGATGGAACAAAAAGTCAAAATACGCCGAAGTTTGGGCGAGAGCACCGGCCGCGGCCGGAGGCCTCCCTTAATCCAATATTGCAGTTTATGCTCCACTCCGATGAAAAAATACCTTAGCGTTCTAGAGAAGGAATTCCGACAGGGGCATAAGTACAACTTCGGAGTCGAGGGGCCATGGAATCCTTCTCACGATACAAACAGACACCCAGGGTTTCTTTCATTCCCCTGGCAGCTGTACAGAATCGTGGACGGGCCCTTTACGATCGCCCCTGCAACAAAAATATAGCCCCGAGATTCCACCGATTCTCATTATTGCCCCGTGGGAAAACTCAAAAGCAGATCTAGAATCTTGTATTGGACGGCAGTCGATGCGGTTGTGTTGCTTTTCTCTGTTGTTATTGTTGCTGCTGCTGTTGGAATCACTAACTATTCTGTACCATTGACTATATATTTGTCTTGTGTCACCTACATCCTGCGTTCAAAACCCTTTTTACGCCCTCCGCAGGAGGTATCTTTCGAAACCTGAAGGAAAAGACCCAAGGCGAGCATTGACTCGCGCAAACTAACGACCTTCCTAAGAACATTGTCTACGCCTAGAGAGACGACAGGTACGCGTGGGACAAGCGATCTTCTCTAAAGAACAATGTTTGTGTGAGCGGATGCACACTTTCCTTTGCCCAACGATGGGTCAAGGCACAAAAGAATGTTGCTGTATCGTGCTGTCACATCGTGGACGTCACTTCATTTAGGGCACCCATAAGTGAGACCTAAACTCAGGGTGAACAGCGGTTGCGCTGGATAGAGGCCAGAGAGATCGTTCATTCGAGCAGAACCTCACTCGTTGAGTTTTACGCCCACCACAACACGCTGTGATCAGGGCCACACAAACAAAGAGGTCATGGGCTAAGTGATGGTAATACAGCATTCAGTACTTTCCACATATACTCGCCCGTGAGCACGCGAATAAAACGTGGATCGAAGAGATGACGGTACACAAACGTGGTGATACAGCAGCAGTAGAGGTAGACTAGCGTCACTGTTGTTGGGTGTGATTGACTCCTTCTCTCCCCGAGGAGGTGTGCCTTCAAAGCGGTCCTGGCACCTTCTATAAATATGTGTCATGAAATTCCGTTCCTAGCGTGCACAGATACGCCCACGATCTGTTTACGACGCAAACATCTTGTTCCCCAATCCACTCCCTCTGGTGTGCGCGGCTTACACACAAATACTATATTTGAGCAGATCAAAGCACTCCTGCTCCCGTTCAGATATTCTTACCGCGTGGGTTGCGCGCGCTTCCAATCACCTCTTGTGAGGTGCGAAAAGAGAGATTTAGTGCTTCCCTCACCCTCTTTGCTCTCCTCTCACCATCGTGCCCTGAGGACAGAGCGTGTAGTGAGAGAAGGGGGTCAAGCAAGGCAGCAGGTAGGTGCAGTAAACGGCCCTCTTCAATACTGTGCGTTGGGCAATCAAGAGGTCATGAGACCAGCAGAGATGAGACCAGCAGCTGCAACAATGCCCACCAGCTACCCTTGTGCTGGAGCGACATTGGATCGGTACAGGTACAGGTCCTTCTGGTCGGTCTTCTTACCCCATCTTCCTCAGCACTCGTTCCACACACTTGACCACGCGACTCGACTTCGCAGCAACAGCAGGAAGTCTGATCTACTCTCTCATCCGCCGCACGCACGCCCGACTCCGCCATCCCCCTATTTTGAAACGATCTTGAAACCGAATTATACTCTGGCGCCCCCCCTTCCCTGTCGACATCCCTCTCGTTCTCCCTCTCTCTGTCACATTAAATCTAGAGTAGTCTATGTTTACATGTCTGTAGTATCGGTCTCTCACGGTCTCGACTCGGTTTCTTTTTCGAGCATTCTCGTGTATCCCCTCTCGTTCCATCCAGAGGACAGCATTACAGGGAAACGGGAGTTTCTTCGTCATTCCGCTCGCCATCCACACCTTCAGGTGATTCATGTGCAAGGTGCTGCCAGTTTAGTAAATTGCTTGCAATTCGTCCGCATGGAGGAGAGGAAATATATCATCACTTCAAACCGCTTTTTTTATTGCCTCCAACAGCAGCAGGAGGATAACCGCTGTAGGACGGGACTGGTTCGACGTTGGCCTCCCCTCTGAAGCAGGAGGGAGAGAGCGACTCTGCCGCTGTATGAGCCCACGACCTTCTGGATCCAAGAAACGAAACGGTCGCTACATACATGTGCGAAACTACAGTATCAATAACCCCACCACATCCCGTTCGACGAACGGGTACAGCAGCAGCAGTAGTCTTTCTTTGCGTGCATTTGTTTTTCCTCAAATATATTTCGACCAGCGGCGTGGCTGCGCTCGAGGAATCACCACGCGTGTCTCACGTCATGAATTGTCTCACTTTCTCGTCCACCCCGTGTATGATTGCTGGTATGCGTATGGTACAACAAGGGCTCTACCACTACCCTTTCCACGACGAAGAGCCAGCGCGTGTCAACTCTGTCAGACGGCGCGTTGAGGGGTTTGACCTACAGGAGTACATCATCCATCTGCTTCTCGATTTTTTTGTTCTGCTGTATGACCATATTTTCCGCCCGGGAGAACGGATTATTTACGCCCAACATACCCTCTTTTCATTAAACAACGTGGTGTGGGTCCTCTTGTCGTCACATGTCGCCCGTGCTCGCACCATAACGGTGCTCCATTGGAATCGAAATCTTCTTCACGTAGGCTTGTGTGAGACTCACGCGAGGTCTTTTGTGATTCAGCGCATATATTTTCACCAACATTGATCCAACGGCGGGTTGGGTCGGTTCATCACCAACTGGTAAAACCCAACAAATATCGACCGGTTTGGTTTTCCAGCAACTCAGGACAACTCTCTGGGCATTTTTTGGACAATTGAACAGGCTTATTGGACGTTTGGACCTCTCCCTTCCACCATCTCTCGACCCTCGACGGATGCATTGACAAAGGACGGAATACACAGGACTGTTTTCCACGAGTAACGCCTCTGTTCATTTTAGCGTGTCTAATAAGTCGGTGGGGCCGACCCAGAAAGCTGCCCCGGTGGCAAAGACCCACGCGAAATCGTGCCCAGGGTAAAGACTGATTGTTGCATCAGCCTACATGTTAGTGGTGTCAGTTGCATGCTGCACAACACGTGAGAGCTGCTCACCGTGGCGCAATAGAGACCGAGATTTTGTGCTCTGTATTACAGTACTCTATATATTTTACCGTAAACAAATCGTCTAGACTAGACTATATATCTACGATCGCCAGCCGCAGAAACATGAACGCGCTCCAGCAAGTGAACACAGCAGCCCACGGATGAAGTCGCCACTCTTTGTGGAAAACACCCCGATGGCCTGCAATGTTGTTAATTCACCGTACGTGCAGTCGGTCGTGATCGTTCCAGCTGGTTCGGGCACATGTGCACAACAACAACACGTGAACACACACACACGTCACTGCTCTGCTGTAGTGTAGAAAGGAATCACTGCGCCCGCGACGGCCTGAGTAGTGGTACCCGACCAGACTTGCAGCCGCAGCATTACATCGAAGAAAAACAGAAGGAGAGAAAGTGTTAATCCTGGCCTCCCATTTGCCCTTCCCAAACCTAGGCAAAACTATGTTGTACCTATTATAGTTTATGCATAGTTTCACGGAACGCCGCACGAAATGACACCTAGTTGACTTCATCCTATAGGTGCACGACACAGGCTACAGTAGTTCGTTCCCGTCGGTACCCGTACTCCCCGATCGGCCTCATAGTCACGTCAATGTATCTCCCTCGCGGATAGCGTAACCCGGAAAACAGGGACCGATATCTGCACCGCTGGAGTGTGTGACAACCAATTCAGCCACAGTATCGTGCACGCAGAAGTACCTCGAGCATGGATTGATTTTGCAGTGGATTGATTTTTCCAGTGCCATTCGAACTCAGCTTCAATAGTCTAGACAGACGTTCTTTGTCGCCACTGCCAAGCTTGAACTAGCCCAATGCCACCGTGATTGGAACCACCTTGCTCTTCTACACATGAGCACAGCGTAGCGAGTCGGTTCCGTCTCTCCTCACTGCAAGCACACTCCCGCGGGGAGGGCCCCGCATCATCCCAAGCTCCTCAACTTCGATGAAGTCCCGTCTCAGACGACTCAACGACAACGCCAACCTGTGGACGAGCGACCCTACTCGGCAGCAAAGACTAATATGTGCCATCGTTTCCCTTCGTGACGCCGGACGCTCTGGTTAGTACCCTATCGTCAATCGAAGGCAGTCCAGAGAACGTCATCTCGTTGGATCGGTTAGTCGTGCGAAACTCCGTTTAGGTTCATGCCCCCCCACTCTACTGCCACGAATCCCTCCCGGGCAGGCGATCGTAGCTCTTCAATCTTGGCAGTGTCCAGCTCCGCGTCGTACGCATGGGCGCCTCTGCAAACACAAAACACCTCGCCGTGATCCGACGAGGTTCAGAAATGGCTGATGTGCGGTACTGAGAAACGAGCTGACGCAACGATAGAAAGCTTCTCATGTGACCTACTTACTTATCGAGCGGTATGGGCGGATCACTTTTGGGTACGGGCCATCAACTTCGAAAAGGTGTTCTGTGCGAGGCGTGGCCAAGTCTGGGATGTTGATATTATGTTCATGTTTGTCAATAGGTTGTACCAGGGTTACACGTCAGGGTCGGCATCCGAACTATTGTCACCTCACCCAAATGAAGCTGCGCAACCTGAATAAAGATGAGATGGCTCAGTATAACGAGCCCAACAAGGTCCTCCTTCACAGAGTGGTCCGTTGATAGCCTCTCAGACCAATCGAGCAACTTCGCACAGCAACGACCCACCTGAAGGCCATGAAGACGCGGATCGTGACATCCGGAGTAGGCACGATGGTCAGGCGGGCTGCTTGCTCGTACCGCTCAACCTCCACGAAGTAGATCACGTTGAAGCGGGACGACTCCAGCTGCGGCAGCCAGCACGTGACCATGTCGCAGCGCTCCCGTACGTTGAGCCCGAGGCGTTCCAGGGCGACATCAAGGAACACGCCTTTCGAATGGTATCGGGCAACGAAACATGAGTCATATTGGCGATAGCGCATCCAGACAGGGTGTTGTGCAAACGAACTGCCAGGAGGTGATCCAAGGTTGCACAATATGGCAGGGAAGGTCCACTCCTAAACTGACCCTACCTGCTTCGCGTGGGATTTTTGTTGTTGTCTTCACTTCAAGTCAGCGCTCAGAACATTTGTGCCGTTTACTCCAAACCGGGGTCACACAGAAGGTTTCTTCTCCCTGAGCCCCCCTACTCGCCCCTCCTGCGGTGCTTTGCCTTCAATAGGCGAGAACAGTGCAGCACTCTCTTCCCTCTGTGTACACACGAACTAGCGCTTTCCACCCAGGCCAGGAACGGGAGCGAGAGAAAAAAACACCTTGCAAGAAAAACTCGCTTACGCCGGTATTCGATCCCCTGAACCTGGCCACTATTAATAGATAGGAGTTTTTCGAGGATACCAACTAGAGTACCGAGGTGACCAGCACGGGATAGGCGTCGAAATTGGTGTATAGCCAGCATCCGCAGCAGAGCTACGGGGCATCGACGTCGGGACGAGCGAAGCCAATTCTGACAACAAAATACGGTGCAGGCATGTGATCGCACCCGCTACGCCTCGGTCCTCTTCGGATGGACAGAATGGCCGTCTCGGAAGCCATCCACCGTCACCAAGCTACTCCTTGGTCGACCCAGCAGCCTTCTCCAAAGCTACCTCTCGAGCTTATACGCTATGTGGCGCTCGTTTGTACAGCTGCTAGATTCCGCTGTAACACGATATTCGGTTCCCTTAGTTGGTTGGACGGAGAACAGCGACCAAACGATGTACCGCATGTACCGCTACGCTGAATTCACACGTTGCCCTGCCTTGACGAAGCACCAGCACCCATATCACCACACCTGCGGCTTCGCCTGCCACACAGAATGACCTCGAGCCGTCCAGTCCAAAGCTCCGCGTAACCCGGCCGTCGGAAGAGTCTGCTTCCCAGAACAGATACGGGTACTCCCTGCCGGTGCTCAGGTCTTTGAGAGACCCGCCGGGACTGGCGTGGACGTTCCATTTGCACTGCTGGCCACCAGCCACGTTAGCCTGGGAACCAGCCTAGCACAGGAAAGGAGAGAAGGACGGGACTTTCAACGCTCAGGGTGTGCGTAGCGGCCAAAGCGTGATCTTGGTGCCACAACGGCAAGCCTGACGGCGATGATGCCAAGGACAAAAGCCTGGTTCTACCCTGACGTCTCCAAAACAAGTCATATGGCGCCTATCGGTCCGAACGGCCTTGGCACGCGAGTTGTTTTCAAAGGGCACAGGTTCAGCGACAAAGATGTGCTACACGTTTTGGTGTCTCTCCACAGGACGTCTGGAATGCCTGATGTATGTTGCTTTCTACATGTCCCCAAGACTGACCTCATAGTCTGCGGCTAGCTGCTTCAAGTTTCTGGGCTGGAGCTTCGGGTACAGCGAAGAGAAGCTCCAGAGCGGGCTCAGCTCGACCGCTACCGTGATATCGACGGGGGCTGGCGGGTACAGGAGGATCACGGGCTTCCTCAGACTCAAAACCAAATGAGCCACGGACCCGTTTCGAATGTTGCAGTCACGCAGGGTCCGGTCATCGCTCGTCTGTTGGCCTGCGTAGATGATGCGCTGTTGTTCGCAAGGGATGCCCTGTGTGTCTTGAACCTTCTTCTTGACGTCCAGCACTGTTTCGCTGGGAAACGCTCTGATGGTGTGTTGTTTTCCGGTTAGCGTTTTGATGGAAAAGCTGATTTCGTTCTTTCGCGCCGGCAACGAGCAGAACACGAACAAGACAGGGGGCAGCGGTCAACGCTAGGTTAGCATTACAAATGGCGTCATACGAAAAGGCGATGCGGTTTCACTACATTTTCGGTTGGCCAAGTCCAGTTCACGGTGACTGCACCTTGGCACGCGTAGTTCAACATGCCTGCACTCGTGAAGAAATGCGTTCCCTTGCTATTGCGCACGCTAAATAGTTGCGGCACTGCACCTCATCTTCATCTGCAACTGAATCGGTTGTGTCTTCTCCGACAGCGGCTTGGGAGGCCAAAGCGCCGGCGTCTGCTGCGCTGCTAGACCTCGCTGAGCTGCCCGCCCCTCCTTCCTTGACCGAGTCGGCAGCCGACGAGACACACGCCCGCCCCGTAGACCTCGGCGAAGCTGGCGAAGACGAAGATCAGCAGCAGCAGGTGAGGAGCACGAGGTATGAGACGAAGAAAAGGAGGGCCCTCCGGCTTGTCCACCGGGTGCAACAACACGTGCTGCAGGTCAGGTCTGAGAACGGCATGGTCAACTGGAAACTGAGGCGTACGATACTCCCCAAATCTGTTTTCCCCTCACACAAGGGCGAGTCGTGCCAACGTGCCTACGCGATACGCGTCAATCCAGACACGGCCTGCATTGTACTGATCCTACACTCGCACATACCAAAACACTGATTTCTGCATTCGGCGTTCGACGAGGACGTACTTTGAGAGCTTCCGCCTGATGCTGCTCCGAGCTTCTGGCTGCTGTGCGCCGCCGTTTGCTGCTGGCGGAGGATAACGAGTTGCTTCTCTCGAAGCTGTTCGCCGTTCATCCGGAGCTGTTCCTTTTCCTTCGTCAGCCGTTCGTGGAAGCTCCTGAGCTCGCCCTGGAGAGGTTCCACGTGAGGTAACTCTGGTCAAGTGATGAAGTACACCGGAATACCAGCATGAAACAAGGGTCACAGGACCACCTTGGACACAATCATTACTTGCTCGTTGGGACATGCACAAGACAGGAGACATGTGCAATCACCGGGTGTGCGGGGGAATTAATTGTCTTGATCATATAGAGCGGGTTTCCGTGGAAGGCGCCACTGCAGCAGTTGTACGTTGTACACGGGTCAGCCATGGATCACCGTTGCTCGTGTGCGTTGCTTGCCTGTGTGAATGAACAGAGAGGCGTGGTGTCTCAAGGTGCGAATCTACAGGAAAACAGTCGCTTTCCGAGAAGGGCCAACAGTTGCTGCAGAGCAGCAGTTGTACTGCTGTAGCGTCGAGGTATATTCTACTTCCGCTTCGTGATGCTGCCTGTAGCAACCAACCTTGTCAACGAGAGCACATTACAATTTACCCTTGGTGAGAAACGGCGCATACGACATCCGGAGCATACGGCATCCCGAGTCACCGAACTGGTGACCTCGGCGACGGGTGAGTTCAAGGTACACGATGATGCTGACGTCTAAACATAGGCGGAGAGAGACAAATCAACATGTCGAAACGCACATGATCGGTGGTGCCAAGATAGGACCCGTTTCCTTCCAGGGCTGCTTCGAGACGTTCCTCCTTGCTCCCAAGTCCCTTTATCTCAGCGTTCACGGCGTCGATCTCCGCCTGGATATTCCTCAGATTAGCCATGCCAGAGAGCAAAGCTCTTCAGAAAAAGGAGGGAGAGGAGTTATGATACGTACCATGTTCTTGTTTTGGGAAGGCACTTCTAAGGCAATCAGGGGGGGTACGCAGACATTTGTTTTCTTCTGGGGCGAATCCATGAATCGTGTTTGAGCAGCTTTCCTGTACTGGTAGTCTACAACTGCTGCTCCACACGTCTCCACACATCTCATTGCACATCACAGAGGCACGATGCGTTCCAGCGCGTAGACACAGTCTGACCTACTCACGTGAGCAAGCGGTAGAGTTGTGCATCAGACATTCGGTAGTCCATGGATGAAGCCGCCATTCTTGGTCACAGAAACTACTGAAGTTCTGCCGCCGGTCTAGTCTGGTATGTATTATCCAGTTGTGGAGGTACATGCAAACAGCATGATTATTATCGGTCGGGTCACACGAGCCCTGAAAAGCCTGAAGTTGCTACAGAGCAGTTGGAGGCTGCGTATGTATCGGTGGGTCTCTCCCTACTTTGTTCAAAAATGCTTTTGGTGGGTATGCCACCGCTTGCGCACGAAAATAAGTTGACTTCAAAGTGCGTTGCACTGAGGCTAGGTAGTTGTACTGCAGTCATTCCGTCAACTCGACGAGGCGAGCCGTAAGACTTAAGACATTACCTCAAGCGCCATTTTGGTCACGCCAGGTCAACGCCAAGAGAAAAGCGGCTGGGACTTCGTTAGCGTCGAGAAAATCAGTCTCGATTCCTGCCATAGGATCTCTGTGCCAAAGTGTACCCAGTAGGGAGACAGAATTTCTGACACAGGGATAATCGCCGTTTTTTTTTTCAGCCGGAAACCCTCGAAGGTGTGGGCTACTCACGAATTGATCGTTTTCCACCGCACACATTGTTGCAAACGCAAAGTTCCACTCCAGAGAGAGAATCGAGCTCACAATACTTACTTGCTGCCATCCAACCTACTTTGTATCGGCATTTGTATCGGCATCTCGTGTACCAGATGGCGGAGAGCGTGGACGAGCTCTCTAGGACTGCTCTCTGCGCCCTCTCTTTGCCAAACAAACGCTCTTTTTGGTACCTTGCAGAAAGCTGAGAGTTCGGAGGGCATCAAGAACCGCTACATCCGGCTGCCAACAGCAGTCGCCAATCAGAGGCAGTGCAACAGCAACGCGAATCTCGAAAGGCTGCTCGCATGAAGAACATCACATGGGCTAGTGGTTTCTTCGTGCACTCTTGACACGCAAAAACTCTCTCTTTTCTTTCAACGACACCAAACAAGGAAATGACAAAACTGTATCGAGAGTTCCATCTTGTTGACATAAATCACAACCAAAACGGTGCACACACGAGACGCAGCAACACTGATAGACGAACCCCGTTCTTTGAGAGGAAAATCTACCTATTTCTATTTAGCAAGGGAAGGGACGGCAACGCGTCTGGTGGGACAAAGGCGATCTGGAAAACTTGCCCCAAGTCTGCCAGCTGCCCTCACGCCAGAGACCATCCCAAGCAGCAAAAATCTGTACCAAAACACAGAGTAGCACACTATTTGCGGTGGCCTACTGCTGTAGCCTCGTTCACGCCCGGTTCGTTCGCCACGAACTGAGTGACGTGTGAGAAAAAAATCTTCGCTAGAATCCGACACGCATCAGCCCTGGCGACATCACCACGCTCGGCGACACCAACAAAAACACGGGACCGCGAGTGGTGAGCTTGTTGGACGAATCCATCACATCGACTTCCGACACACACAGAGTGAGGTGCGCCGAACGCACAGGACCGACGCCCATCCAGTACAGCAACAACGCGCGTACAAGACCGGCACGCTGCCCTCGCAAGGCCCCTTCGGCGCCCAGCCTATCGCCGCCGCTCCTCCTCCTCCTCCTCCACCTCCTCCTCCTCCTGCCACACGGTACGAAGCCCCATCCACACACGCGCCGACAGAGGAACGGCCGACGCACAGACGTTTGGCAAGTTCGCACAGCCACAAGCCGACGCCAAACAGAAACGCGATGATGGTTATCATCATCATACGCTTGTTGCTCCTGATGCGGCGGCCCCCTTCGCAACGCCCGCCACGATGCCGCCCGCGTCTCCCCCCGCTGCCGCCGCCGCCGCCGCTCCCGCCGCGAACATCGCCAAGGCGTCCGTGATGCCGTGGTACAGCAACAGGCCGGCAACGATGGGCGTGGCCGACAGCAAGAGGAAGGCCATCGGGCTCTTGCGGGACTCGAAAACCGCGACCGGCTGGTGCGGGAAGCGGCCGTCCTCGACGAAGCGCCGCAGGAGGGCGTCCTTTCGGGCCCTGTGCGCGTGGACATTATGGAGGGGGGTTGTTGATTGGTGTGAACGCGCGGTTTGCCACACAGGCTCTACCGCATTCGTTCTAAAGGGGTGTTGTACTCAGCACAGCAGCATCATCGCTTTCTTCTTCAAACTTAGGCGGGAGTGAAAACGGCGTCCGTTCACGGACACTGCGCAAGCGGCTTCTGGACGGTTGCAAGGCTGATCTCGTGCAAAACTGCAGAGCAGCATTTCCGCTGCTCGTTCGTGCGTGCCGTCGTCGCTCCTCGAAGCCAACGGCGCGTCACCGGATTCGCCAGGCGCGCCGGCTCCACCGACCGCGGTGTTGACAACTTCTTCATGCCAACAACAACTGATAGACGAGAGGGGCCCCTCCTGCACTCACCAGGTGGCGTCTAACCAGGTCTTGCCGTCGCCAGCGATGTCGTCCACGCAGTGCTTCTCGACGTGAAGGTGAACCTGGCAAACAAATCGGCGGGGCGCAAGCCGGGGCCATTAAAACGTCTTCGACACAGGTGCTCGGATTGGTACCGATGTGGTATGTCGTCATCGACCTGACGGAGGAGACGAGTCCGGCTACATCGTGCCGTGGAATGTGTGCACAGCCCGCCAAGATGATGTAGCGCGGCGGGTAGCACACACAGTCATCGAATGTATTAGAGGAACTTTGTGCAAAGCCTAGTTTAGCTGTTATCGTAACTTCCGATGAAAGTACAGGGAGGGGGGGGGGGGGGGGGGAAGAAAACTTGAAAAAACCCAATTTTGCTACCCAGAAAAAACCAACAAACCATTTTGCAACCAAAAAAAAAGGGCTTTGGGAAAAAAAAAACACAAATCCGAAAAAAAGGTGT